GATTTTTTATGTAATACTGTTTTCTTACCTGGAGTTAATGGATAAAATGATGAACTTAAGAACTGTTGTTCTGTAACAACTTCTGTCCTAAATTCGATCCTAACTGAAGTTGTCATGGTGACTTAGCAAATAAGATAAGATTTCAGACGTAAGATATTTCTGTAGTACAGCCCCAGTTCTCAAAACATAACTTGAACTGGTAAGCTGGTCACCAGCTTGAGCTGAATACATTTAAACGAGGAATATTGGCGTGGTTGTATTCTAGTTAAAATACTGAGTTCAGATATCTTCATATTTCTCATAAGGCCATATTCAGATACTGTAAGATAAAGACATGATGTACCTGGACATTGAATTTAACCATACCACAAATACTGATTTACTGGCCACTCCATCTAGCCAAATACAGAGTTTGCATATTTCAATACAAAGCATGAGGGCATATTCAGATATTTCATCTAATGTGTATAAAACATTAGATGTATTTTGACACAGTGCACTATATGAGGCAAATGCTGACTCAAAGTGAAAGTGTTTGACCAGGCATAAAGCACTTAAAATATCTCCAAATGTGTTCAAGATATGATCCAGATTCTTGCAAGTGTAGCCCTTTAACATTTATAACTCTAGGTGGAAGGACAGATAGGAGTAAAAACAGAGCTTTGTGTTAAAATTGTGTTCTTGTCATATAAATGAGAAAAATGCAGTATTAAGTTCATGTTCTACGATGAGTAAAATGAATAAATGAATAGGTGCTAAAATGTTTGTAATTTTGCATTATGTACAGTTGTATTTGAACATTTATTTGATGGTATCTTTTTGAAAAGATATTGAGCCTAATACAAGTTTTTGCTTAAATGAGAGTTTTTTTTTTCTTCACTGTTCTGAGTTCAGCTCTGGTGTTTCCTGTGAAAGGGAGGGGGGCTAAAAAGTTCGCAGGAGAGAGACTGTTTTGTTTTTGGGGGAGAAGAGAGAAGGTGTGCAGAGGGGAGAACTAAACTTGGGAGATGAGAAGCCTGTGAAAAAGAGCCTTTGTGCGATAATTTTGAACCAGAAGAGAAGAGCGGGGTGATGTCGTGTATGTCTGTGATGACTGGATCTGAACTGAATCGTGCTCTCTGCTAACCAGCAAAAAAGCACACTAATGAGTGCAGTTAGCCATAGCAACTCGGCCGGAGGACGGAGAGACTGCTGGGACTGACGGACGCTGGACCAGTGCTGTTAAAGTGGACATGCTGATACCATCCTGGTCGGAACTAAGTGCTTTTGTGCCTTTTTCTTTGGTTTATCTCCCATTGGAAAGCGCCATTCTGCTGCTCATTCTGCCGGCTGACCTGTAAGCAACCTCTGACCGAGTGTGCTTTTTCTCTCTGAGCTGTAAACCTGTGGGGAAGGTTGTTGGCTAAATTTAAGTCAGTCACCTAACTACAAAAACTGATGTCTAGTTTAAGTGAAAGACTAATTAATAATTCAAATACCAGATCAAAAGGAAATTAAAATTGTGTTTCAGACATATATAAATTGTGGTTTTATTGTCACAGCAAATTTTCATGTATTTATGCAGTTCATGGAAGGTTATAAGTGCATATTCAACACCTGTATTAGGAGTTAATGCTTGTGTAGGGTGTAGGTGTTAAACAGAATTGCTCTAATCACTAGAATGAGGTTCGCAGCGTACAGTGTATTCTCGTATCCCAATTTGGAAACTTTGAGTGTGATTGGGTGCTATGAGAGGAAGTAGAATAAAAGTAAAGTATCTGTGCATGGGAGATTTGGGTAGCTTTAATTGACTGGCTACATTTCTGAACCTCCAGGGAGATATCACCCTAGCAAATAAGCCAGTTGCATTTCTATATTTGTAGGACCCACCCTGTACCTCCCACGCTACTAGTTCAGGGTTAAATGTTAAACACCTTTAGGTCCTTGTTGTTCAGTTAAGTATCTGGTGGGGGCGCTACACAAGAATTTAAAAAAGACTCTGGATTCTTGGGGTTTTGGCACAGTGCTACTGCACACAGACCTGACCCATCTGTACCCATCTAGGAGGGGAAATTATGTTGAAATGCTGTTTGTTGACTACAGCTCAGCATTTAACACTATAATCCCCTCCATTCTCACCACAAAACTGGAGGACCTGAGACTACATCCATCCCTGTGTCAGTGGATCTTCAACTTCTTGACACCATTGACGGGTGTCATCACAGCCTGGTTTGGGAACAGCACCAGGCAGAGGGTGGTGCAGTCAGATGAGTGCATCATCAAAATGGAGCTGCCTGACCTGCAGTCCATCTACAGTAAGCAGTACTGGACCAAAGCCAAGAAGATAGTTAAAGACCTCATCCATCCTGACAGTGGAGTCTTCTCTCTTTTACAGTCAGGGAAATGCTTCTGTTCCCTGAAGGCCAGCACAGAAAGAATGTAGAGGAGCTTCTTCCTGCAGGCCATTCAGGCTCTCAACCAGGATAACAACTACGACTATTCATGCATACACACACACGCATAACTTGATTATTGCACAACACCCATACATCCTACATACACAATACATAATGCTGTATTAATACATATAAATTATTTACTTATTAATTCTTATACCTCCTGCTTATTTGCACACATATGCACACATCTGCACTTAACACTGTCCATAACATTGTATTTTATTATATCCCTATATTTTTATATTTTATACCCTTCTTTCCTTTTTTATATATATTGTTATCTTATTTTTTTCTCCTGTATATTGTGTTGTTCCTGGCAGAAGGCAGTCATATAAGCAATGCACTTGTATGTTACACTATGTGCGGTTGTGTGTGTGACTAATTTGATTTGATTTGAACAGCAGATCAGAACAGACAGTATAATTGTGATTGGTTACAGAGTAAAACCTTACCCAATATGGAATTTGTAACATGATTCTTTAAAAAGCAATGCAAGAACATGTATCCTTCAGGGGCAGACTTTAAGTTCAGGACATAAGCCCTATTTCGAGAGGCAAGTGATAACTTGGTTTCAAATAATGAGCATAAACCACAGAGACAGCTGCTGTCTCACTTCTTGCTTACACAGGAAATATCTGGACCCTGCATGTTTCTTTAAAAAGATTAAATGTTAGCACAGAGGTGTCCAGTCTTATCCACAAAGGGCTGGTGTGGCTGCAGATTTTCACTCCAACAAAGCAGGAGATCACTTGATGAAATGTTTGATGATTAAGACCAACTGATTAAACAAGAAGGATCAGGTGTGCTTCAGCTCGTTTCAAGTGAAAACCTGCAGCCACACTGGCCCTTTGCGGATAAGATTGGAAACCTATGTGTTAGCACGTCGGGTTATATGTGTTATACAGATTATTAAGTGCAAGGGCAGAAAGTTAAAGTTAAATACTTGATGAATAGGAGAGCTGAGACATGACAGCATTTTTCCTGAGACAAAAAAACCATTTGCTCTGAGGAATAATGCCACTTTTTCTGATGTCTGAAACCTGATACTGAGGTCTAAGGATATTTTAAAATGTACATTATAAAACAGATAGTTCCAGTTCTAAATCTGATTGGCTGAGCCAACAGTTCAAAGCCGTTGTAAAAAAACACAATATATGCACACCTATGACCGCCTTACAGCAACTAAACATCACGTCAAGTCAAAGTTTATTTATATAATGCTTTTTACAACATTTACAACATTGTCACAAACCAACTTTACATAAAAATCTGAGTTCTAGCCCCCAGTGAGCAAGTCAGTGATGACAGTGGCAAGGAAAAACTCCTTAAGAACAAGAGGAAGAAACCTTGAGAGGAACCAAGACTCAAAACAGTCCTCCTCTGGTCGACACCAGATAGCAAACCATAACAGCAGAGAATGAGATTTGACCACAAGTAGTATAAGACACGGAAAAGGGGGAAAGACAGGAATAGCATTGTCTATGATAAAAAAAATGCAATAGTATCATCAGTGGGGTCAGTGGCATGCATGTGAGGTTTGCACAACTTGTACAGCAGGAAGCTCCATGGTGGTCAGACTGGTTGAAAGGGCTGGTTAGCATGGGCACCAAGGCAGATGTAGCAACAGCATCAGACCACACAGGATGGGCAGTTATTCAGCTCAGCAAAGAAACACGCAGTTCTGTTAAGACAGACTGATTACAGTATGCAGTGTTAAGCGAGTGAAGCAGAGACTCCGGCAGGCCAAACTATTACAGCCTTACTGAAAGGGAGAGCCAGAAGGTAACAAAGACATGAGGGCTTCCTGAGATGTCAGTGCACCCTCCGCTCCACTGTCAAAAGATTTCAGTGAAAGCATGAGAGCAGTGGGATGACAGCACCATCACCCCAGGCACTGTAATACTCTATGTCCATGAACCCCCAGATCTGCATCTTTTATCTAACAGGAAAAACTAATTATTAAAGGCTAGACTGAACAAATAGGTCTTTAGCCTAGACTTAAAGACTGAGGCTGTGACTGAATGACTTGAAGATTGTTACAAAGATGGGGGGGGGTCTCCCTGATGTAACTATCAATTCTAGGTACTAATAATAAGCCAGCACCCTATGATCTAAGTAGGTCAATATACAGTGATGGGCAACCGAATGTTCTTCTCTTCTTTTAGCAGTCCATGATTCCATACTCTAAAGTAACTACTTTTGTTGGTGGAACGAGGCCCATCATAAATATGCAGTATTTTGAAGTTCATGCCCACACAGCGTGAAAAACATTCATTTAAGGCCACTTTTAGGACATTTTGGAAGTTCACTACTGTGTATAAAATAGTTGGCCAGAATCTTCCTTTTTGACACGTTTTCAAAAAGCAACTGTGCTGAGTCTAGAAATGGACATGAGCAACAGCTAGAGCGAAAAATGCAAAAATAAAAAGGTCACAAGTAACAGTTAGGGACTTTACGGTAGAGAGTAAGGGGAGGGGAGAGACTTTAAACCTCCCATATCAGCATGTATGAAAGCATGCATGTGCTTGCTGACTCACTGTGCTAGCTCTAAGAACTCAGAGAAAGAGTCCCACTAGAAACACAGCTGAGTGAGTATATATTTTTTCTGCATTGCACTGAGGGTGTAGATTTTCAGCTGCCTCCGTGAAGTGTGTGAAATGAACTGTTTTAGAAGTTGTAGTACATGTTGCAGTGTATAACTGTACAGTGTTCACTTTATATGTTGTTTTTGTATGTTTCATCTTTTAGCTACATTTCTGAATAGATTGTAAGTTCAGAGGTAATAAACAGATGTTTAAGGATGGTATTTTTAGGATAGTGTACACAGTGCATTTTTTCCATTGTTAAATTAAAACTAATGTCCAGTATGAGTTTGCAGCTACAGGAGAAGATGTGGGGAGATGCCCCCCTTAAGAACAGTGTGTGTTAACTCCAAACCATATTTCTACACGTGAAAGCCACGTCATCTGATTTTTACAGAATGCATAATTCATATGTTAAATCATTCTTATTGTATTATTTCAAAGTATAACAGTACATTGTAAAAAGCTAAAAAAAATCACTGCAAAATAGAAACATTTAATTTGTTAAATTAAAAATTTCAATTTTGCTTATTTGTTAAATAATCCTTAATGAATCAGTTATTAAGCATTTTAGAAAAGTTACTCAATAATGATAGCAATAGCAATAGTAATAAAGATAACAAAATAAACAAAGCAATTATATTTAATATTTTATTGACAAATGCAATTAATTACTGCATGTGATACAACAGAATAGTGAAAACAGTGTGAACATAACTCTGCCTAACTTTAAAAATCACAAACTCATCTCCAGTAAAATGACTCAAAGAATCTTTACCAATTCGAGCCAAACTGCCCAGCAATGCTAATGATCACCTTATCTAGCACATAATGCTAATGCTAGCTGGCCAGTGAAACTCCTGCAAACATAAAGACTAAAAAATACAACTCCATTTCCAAAAAAGTTGGGACGCTGTGCAAAATGTAAATAAAAACAAAATCCAATGATGTGCAAATCATTTAAACTCTATATTTCATTGAAAATAGTACAAAGACAACATATCAAACGTTGAAACTAAGAAATATTATTGTTTTTTTGAAAAATATATGTCCATTTTGAATTTGATGCCAACAATGCGTTCCAAAAAAAGTTGGGATGGGGCAACAAAAGGCTGGTATAGCTGTGTAATGCTAAAAAAACACCTGGTGGTTGATTGGCAGCAGGTCAGTAACATGATTGGGTATAAAAACGCATCCCAGAGAGGCTGAGTCTTTCGGAAGTAAAGATGAGGAGGGGTTCACCACTCTGTGAAAGACTGCGCTGGCAAATAGTGCAACAATTCAAGAATAACGTTTCTCAACATAAAATAGCAAAGAACTTTTGCTTTTCATCATCTACAGTGTATAATAACATTAAAAGATTCAGAGAATCTGGAGAAATCTCTGCATGCAAGGGACAAGACCAGAACCCAGTATTTGTTGGCCATGATCTTTGGGCCCTCAGATGGCACTGCATTAAAAACAGACAAGATTTTCTAGTGGAAATTACTGCATGAGTTCAGAAACACTTCTGAAAACCACTGTCTGTGAAAACAGTTCGTCGCTGCATCCACAAATGCAAATTAAAACTCTAAAATGCAAAGAGGAAACTCTACATAAACAGAATCCAGAGATGCCACCACCATCTCTGGGCCTGAGCTCATTTAAAATGGACTGAGGGGAAGTGGAAAAGTGTCCTGTGGTCCGACGAATCAACATTTGAAATTCTTTTTGGAAATCGTGCACACTGTGTCCTCCGGGCTAATGACCACTCAGCTTGTTATCAGTGCACAGTTCAAAAGCCAGTATTCATGATGATATAGGGGTGCATTAGTGCAAATGGCACGGGCGACAAGCACATCTGTGAAGGCACCATTAATGCTGAATGATATATACATGTTTTGGGAACATATGCTGCCATCCAGATGACATCCTTTTTCAGGAAAGGCCTTGTTTATTTCAGCAAGACCACATTCTGCATGTATTACAGCAGCATAGCTCTATAGTAAAAGAGTCAGGGTGATAAACTGACCTGTCTGCAGTCCAGACCTGTCACCACTGAAAACATTTGGCACGTTTGAAATGAAAAATACGATAAAGGAGACCACGAAATGTTGAGCAGCTGAAATCCTATATCAAACAAGAATGGGAAAACATTTCACTTTCAAAACTACAGCAGTGTCTCCTCAGTTCTCAAATGCTTACAGAGTGTTGTTAAAAGAAGAGGTGATGAAACACAGTGGTAAACATGCCCACTGTCCCAACTTTTTTGGAACGTTGGCATCAAATTCAGTACGGGCATATATTTTTCAGAAAAGCAATACAATTTCTAATTTTCAACATATGACATGTTGTCTTTGTGGTATTTCCTTTAAAAATATGGTTTATATGATGTGCATATCATTGCATCCTATTTTTATTTACATTCTGCACAGCGTCCCATCGTTTTTGGAAATGGGGTTGTAGATAAAAATGATGAAATGATGAGAACAAGCAGTGTCAAACCTCCAAGATTTATGACTAAATGTAGAGATTTTTCTAGCCATCAGTGAAATGTATGTTTTAGACCATTTCCTACCAGGTAATATGTAAGAACACACCCACACACCCACACACATACACACCCACACACAAAGAGGAGTAGAAAGAACACTCCTGAAGCAGTCGTGAGCATCAGAATAAAAAAAAACAACAGGGAAACAGCTACATTATTCTCATTTTAACCTCTTTATTCAGAATATCCTCAACAGAAGATGTCTGGCTTTGTTGTTGATCTGGATGTGGAAAAGAGGAAGATTGCAGAAGAAGCAAAAAAGGCTACATCTGAGATAGTACAGTATGCTATAGATAACCAGTTCCATGGCTTCCCAGTAAGCTTCGGCTTCACTTGTGCAGAACCAGTCGACCCTTACAAGTTCTGCTGCATTCCCACCAAGGAGTTTCTGCAGGAACTTCTAGCAAAACTTAATGAAGTAAGTTTCAAGGAGGACACAGACCCTGAAGAGAATAAAACCATTGCCTATGTCATTCCAAGTGAAAAGGATGATGTAGTTTATTTGTGTGAGCAGTTCTGGAGTGCAGAGGACACACTGTGTGAAGAGTCAAAGCCTGGAACATTAATCCATGAGGTTTCTCATCTGCTGGGCACTGTTGACATCACCTACGATCACCTGACTGTAGAGTTGTATGAGCAGTATGGGACTCTACTGGGCAGGTCACAGCCTTTTAAGGATAAGGATGGAAAAGTATATTATAGAGAAGAAGTGGCCCAGGTGAATGCCAGCTGCCTAGAGCATGAGTTTGAGACCGTCATCAATCATGAGGAAACATACACTAATGGCAGATACCCATGCTGTGGAGAAACCAGGAAAAACTCTGTCTGCAAATGTCGCTCAACAGGCCATTACTATCTACATGAAAGATTTGGTGAGTATTTGGTGACCATCATTCATTTATTAAATTTTTAGTCCTAACAGCCATTAAATACAAATGATCAATTTTTCAGCAGAATAAAAAATAGAAAACATACTTAACAGTCACCATTCTTTCTGGTCTGGGGGGCATGGTGCCCCAGGGGATTTTTTTTTTAATGGCCCCTAAATGTCTGTTCATTATGAACTTAGGAATAGCCAAAAAATGTATCAAAAATGGCTATTTGGTCAAACTGGCACACAGTAGATCTGTCTCTTTGTAGTTTGTATTAAGCACAAAGCTAGTATGACTTAAGCACTATATCCATTCACGTACAACAGGCACAGATCAAGCAAAGGTACTGAAGTCAAATATATTGTAGCGTTCACTGCTATTAAAAGAGTCACAGCTTTTGCACAAGCCGGGGTGCTTTATTTTCATCTGTGGTCGGCCACAGCTATGCTGTACAGAAGCGGAGTTTTTCTCTAACAGTTTGCTCTGTGACTCAGCTCACATCTCTCTCTCCTTTGCTCTCACTCAGATCGTGCACACTCACACACACCCTAGGGCAGTTCCCAAATCCGCCCTCTCCAATAAGAGCTTCTTGAAAAATAAACCCAGTGAACAACGCAGAAGAACACACAACCTAAAACCAACATGTTATAAACACTTGCTAAATGCTAAAATATTATTCAAATACACAGATTACAGATTGTTAAGTCTCAGTGGGTGCAATCAGAAAGAGTGTGATGTTGCTCTGTAGGCATGTTAAATAAGCTAGGTGACAGACTTTCATGATGATAGTAACAAATATTACAGACATTATATTATAAATAATCGTAGCTTTGGTGTAGACTAAGACACAGGGGAGATCATGATTCCACCACAGGATGTGCTTTTTATTGAACACCAGAGTAGAAAGGCACATTCAGACACATAAACTCACAGGGGAGGTCACCACTAGCCACTGCACCATCATGGTGACCACCAACCCACACTAAGTAAACTTACTCCCAACACAGAACACCACAAAAAACACATACCACATAACTTTAACTGATGAACAACAACATAAGCTTTTTTTTTCAGAGGGCAAAACATCTCCCATGAGCCTCCTGGCATTTCCATCAGCATGGAAATGCCTCATGAGCATCAAGAGGCCAGTTCCAGCCAGTAGCGGGGTGCTACAAAATGTTCTCATTTTAGTTCAGCTAAATTGAATATAAATGTTAACTCAAAGCTTAAACAACACTCACTCGCTTTCTTCTTAATCACTAACCTCTATCTGATCTGCTCCTTCTGTTTCTTTCTCTTTCTCTCTTCCTGTGTTTAGTAATACATTCATTTTATGAAACTCAACCCTACAAGAACTCAAGGAAATAATGAAAGATCAATCAATTATTATTTTTTTTGTTTGTTTTAACTAGTAAAAATCTCATTTAACAGGCCTGTCACCTTTTTTTTGCACCTACAGGCTAAGGATTTGAAATATATAAAACTGTGGTTTTGGCAACACTTTATTTTGATGGTCCACTGTAGATGCTCTGTCTGTCTTTAAGTAACATTCAACTAAACGTCTACAGTATTAATGCAACTGAACTTGAAGTTGAATGTGATAGGCTCTATTAAATCAAACCCTAAACCAAAAGCTAACCTTGACCTTCAGCATAAAACCTACTCCTATTCCTAAACTTAACTCTCACAATAATGTTGATAATTAAACGAGTATTACCAGAATGTTTGTTAAAAATGGAAGTATCTGTAGATCATCTATAGGGGCCATCCAAATAAAGTGTGACCGTGTTTTTAGATTATAGCGTTTCATATTTTCTTTACCTCACGTAAAACCAAAGTTACCTAACAAGCACACAAATAAAAAATCCGATAACCAGCTCTACTGACCATAATTTGCTTCGAATTCACACTGTAGGTGGGTATCTTCACTCTGTAACTACTTTCTGTTTTAGTCTGAATATAACAGATTTTGTTGAATTGAATAAGGTCTAATGTTTGTTTTAGTGAGCTGGGGGTTCCACTTTTCACATGGCATTAGTAAATCTCTGGTAGCACAGCAGGGGCAGCACTGCGTTAGAGCAGCAGCAGAGCCTCCCCCAAGTCACACCCTGCTATTACAGTATGTTGTGAAAGAGTATATATGATTTGAAGTAGTAATGTGCATTTAAGGGGCCAAAAGCTCCCATAAAACTGGCCTATTGCATCGCCCATGTTACAGTTCATAAAAATAGTCCTAATTTTCTTCCTTTTTTGTCAATAATTTTCTCCTCTCAAAGTTTCCTTTGACTTTCTCCTTCCTGTTCTTATTTCTGACCTCCCCAGAAAAATCTTTTTTTTTTATTTAGTGACCCTTTTGATATGGTCTTTCTTAAAGGTTTCCTGTTTTCTGCTGATATGAGTGAAACCTAATACCTGGTGAGAAGGCCTCGGTTACAAATAACCATGTAACTTTCTGATACCACACCCACCAGAAAATATCATGTGCATGTAGATCCATTGTTTGTGGATTTGGACAAAGCACTATTTTAGCACCTCCAGGCTGAACTTTAACTACTCACAATTTGAATCATACATTAATAAAAGGAAAAATAAATCGGAACAGTTCTCAAATACATATGTTTATTACTTTCTCCAGATTCGAAAAAAGATGAGATGAAGCATAGGGTGGCCAACTTCTGGAAGGAGATTAATGCCCGTATAAGCACTGAGGCAAGGAGGGTAAGATACGTGAAGAGAACGAACAAGGTCTGCAAGGTGGTTCCTGTTTCTGGGCCCTGAGAGCTTCTAGAGAAAGTCCACGTTCAGCTCAGACTAACCATGGTGGAACATTCTATATAAATATAAAAATAAACTATAAAAAGGATCAATTAAGTATTTGACCTTAGATATGTACAAGGATTATGTTAAGATCTGTTTAAACCCAAGGCATTGAGATAGTAAGAAGGTAAATATATACAAAATCATAATTTACAGGGTTCTTTCTATTGGGAGGTGCCTGTCCCCAACTCGAACCCCTATACTTTTAAATCTCTACACCTCCTTTAAAGTGATGTTGAAAGATTTAGATTTGTCATGACTTTAATTTTAAAAAAGAGTTGTAGCCAATAGGCTTATTTTAGCCACACCCTGCATGTCCCTGTTCACCATGGCCATATGATGAGCAGTTAGATCCCACTGTTTTGAAGAAAAATGTCCCAAAGTCTGAAAATCTGTGTATGATATAAGGATTGTCACTACCAAAACACACATTTTCTAAATGAAACATTTTTGGGTTTTCATGAAAAATATTATGATTATATGTGCTTACAACTGTTCAAAGCTGTGCTTGGTAGTAATGTGCTGGCTAGCGTTTTTGAGTTCAAGCTCCCCATTAGTGTAAGAAAAATAACTTAGAAGTCAGTTGTTGTAGTCAGTGTCTGCAATGCATGCTCTTTATCACTGCAAATATATAACAAATATAATTATTAACATAATCTCAGCAAATAGAATCAAATCTTTTTAACTTTGCAATCTGAAACTTACCATTCTGAATCTCATCTAAACCATATTTACTCTTCTTACTATACTGAATCATATGTAACTTTGCTACTACACTGGATCACGTTTAACCTTCTAGTATATCAAATCATATTTAACCACCTAATATACTGAGTCATATTTAATCTTCCTAATGTACTGAATCATATTTAACTAATGCCGAATCATATTAATTATTAACATGATACAGAATAATATTAAATCTTCCTACCATACTGAATTATATCTGATCTTCTTACTATACTGAATCGTATTTAACCATATCATTATATTGAATCAGATTATGTACAATAAAAATGACTGGAACTCTATTTATTTTTGATGTGTTATTTCTGTATGTATGTATGTCCTAAATGTAGATTTTTTTTTATTTCTGTATCAGCTGCTGTAATTATGGTAAGCAATTTTAGTAGTAAAAGTATTAATAATTTTCTTGCAGCAATAATTGTTACATATTTACAGTCAGAATATAATAATTGGTATTCTTGGTAAAAATGGGTTAAAAAAAGGCATCAAGAAAATGTCTTGGTGGTTAATTAGTTCAATCTCACACTAACAATGTGAGAGAATTTTTTACTTTAATTGAAGTAAACTTAATCTCAGAGAACAAAAACCTTTTAACAAAACAATGTGTCACAATTATTGCCACAACCAAACAAAATTTAATTGAAGAAAGTTCCCATTTAGATTTCACTTTTGGTTTAAAAATTGTATGGTTTTTAGGATCACCAAGTCTAATTAATTAATTAAATTAACTAAAGAACTATCTAATTAAAGAGCCATCTGGAAGGCATGCCAGAAGAAAGCTTTATTTGTCTAGCCACAAACGTGAGCACCTGAAGCTTACTAGAGACTATTGGAACATTGACTGAAACTGGGTTGATACATGAGACAAAAGAAGAGCTTGTTAGTAGCAAACATTTGGCAAAAAAAAAGAAATCATATACAGAAAAGAACCTAATCCTGGAGGATCTGTGATTTGGAGTCCTGGGAACCTTAGTTAGGATACATGGCATCATGGACGTCATTCACATATTTAAGAGCACAAGAAAGAAAAAAAAGCCTCTATCTGTAATATTCTTTTTGACTCAAAATGGCTCACATCTCCTCCACCGTCTCCAGGCTGGGGTGGAGGAATAATGCTCTCTTCCATCATGACTTGGATGCCATGGCAACTGCACTCCCTCCCTCTTGCTTTAAAGAAATGCATGTTTCCCTACCTGCACCCCCACCCTCTCACCTGCTCCTTCTCTTTTTCTCTCCATTCCTGCTGTGGCTGAACGATTTTGGGAAAATCAAATGTTTTCAAATGTTTTTTCCATGAAGACCAGAATATCCTTTTTTTTGGCTTGAGGTTGGAGCACTGAATGTAGTGTGCAAGAGTGCCGTTTACTTGTGGTTGTGTTGTCATGTACACAGCACGAGTGTTTGGTTGTTTCCGACTGGTCTAACTCAGGGGTGTCCAGTCTTATCTACAAAGGGGCTGATGTGGTTGCAGGTCTTCATTCCAACAAAGAAAGAGCTCACATGATCAGTTGTTTGAAGACTGAGACCAATTGATTAAATAAGTGGAATCAGGTGTGCTGCTGCTGCACCCCTGATCTAATTCATCTACAGGCACTTTACAAGATCTGTGTTCTTGGGTTAAATTTCCCAAATTAAGACAACAGTGTTGATAATAAAGGTTATGATAAAATTGCAGCTTTTGTGATCTGAAAATTGCATTCTTACAAATTGCGATATAAAAACGCCACTCCCTAAATCCATCTATCTTCCATTCAACCCTTATCTGCTTTGAAATAAAAAAAAATCAGATAACAAAAAAAAAGCATTTTTTCTTTTGTTGTTTTATGACTCCAATTACGTATCTTACCACCATCTTTTACTATTAGCTTGGATTTATTTTTCCCTGTATTTCCCTGTTCCTTGTATCTCCTCCTGCTGTTGACCTTTGCATGTGTCAACATTTTTGTCTGTCATATTTACCATTTTATTTCTAAAACCTTTTTTGGGATCTTTTGTCTGTCATACACTATATGGACAAAAGTATTGGGACACCTACACATTACCCCTACAGGACACCCTATTCTAAATCCATAAGCATTAATATGGAGTTGGTTCACCCTTTGCAGCTATAACAGCTTCCACTCTTCTGAGGAGCTTCCAACAAGATTTTGGAGTGTCTCTGTGGGAATTTTTCCCATTCATCAAGAAGAGCATTTGTGAGGTCAGACATGATGTGGGACGAGAGGGCCTGGCTCGCAATCTCCGTTCTAGTTCGTCCCAAAGGTGTTTGATGGAGTTGAGGTCAGGGCTCTGTGGAGGCCAGTCATGCTCTTCTGCACCAAACTCACCCAACCATGCCTTTATGGACCTTGCCTTGTGCAATGGGGCTCTGTCATGCTGGAACGGAAAGGGGCCTTTCCCACACTGTTCCCACAAAGTTAGAAGCAAACAATTGTCCAAAATGTCTTGGTGTGCTGAAGCGTTTCCCTTCACTGGAACTAAGGGGTCTAGACCAACCGCTGGACAACAACCCCATAGCATTATCCCTCCTCCACCAAACTTTACAGTTGGCACAATGCAGTCAGGCAGGTAACGTTCTCCTGGCATTCACCAAAGCCAGGTTCATCCATCAGATTTCCAGATAAGTGTGATTCATCACTCCACAGAATATGCTTCCAGTGCTCCAGAGTCCAGTGACGTTGTGATTTACACCACCAAATCTGATGCTTTGCATTGTGCTTGGTGATGTAAGGCTTGCATGCCGCTACTCGGCCATAGAAACCCATGCCATGAAGCTCCCAGCGCACAGTTTTCTGCTGATGTTAATGCCAGAGGAGGTTTGGAACTCTGTGACCCCTCTCTGTAACTTTACATGGTCTGCCACTTTGTGGCCGAGCTGCTGTTATTTCTAAATGCTTCTACTTTTCAGTAATACCACTCACTTTGGATTGTGGAATATCTAGGAGGGAAGAAATTTCACAAACCGACTTATTGCAACAGTGGCATCCTATTACAGTACCACATTCAAATTCAGTGAGCTCTTTGGAACGACACATTCTTTCACAAATGTTTGTAAAGGCAGACCACATGGCTAGGTGCTTGATTTTATACACTTGTGTCAATGGGACTGAATGAAACACCTGAATTCAATGATTCAGAGGTGTGTCCCAATGTTTCTGTCCATATAGTGTATTTCCCATTTTATTGCTAAGAATGGGAAATGAAAAAAAAAGGCTGAGAATTAAAGGTTTAAATGGACGTTCTCTTCAGAAAAATAAAAAAAAGAACAAACACAAACTAACAACAATCCCCAAACACCTATATACATTTTTATTACATTTGGGACACAACTTGATTTTTGTACTTTATAATCATCTGTTATTTATCATTGTACACACTCGTTACACACTCCTACCACTACTACATTTGCTATTCTCCCTCATACAAAGTAGAGTCCAAGAGATGCATGTCAGCACAACAACACAGAAGGAAAAACAATGGGAAAAAAGAAATGGAATTCTGTGTCTAATGGAGTGATAGATATTGTTTTTTGTTTTTCGTTTCATGATATCTCAATGCCTTGAAATAGAAAAAGAAAGCTTATGCATGGAAATATATACATTTGCTCTGAGCCTTTGGAGGCACTGTAATGTGCAAAGCATGACTAGGAAGCAACATCATTTAATTCTTCTATCATCTTAATATAACAAAGTGAAGCATCCTGCATTGTTGGTAACGTGGTCACAAAGTCAGTAAATGTAAATTGCATATGCATGATAAGAGCGATGACACATGAATCTTCAATAGCTTTTCTTGGACCAGCATGTTCTTTGATACCATAATTTTGGAGCATTAAAAATACAAACAAATCAGTAGTAGTTCTCACATAATACATCATCAATATGATGTTAAATGGGTTTACATTTAAACTGATTAAGGCAATTAATACAATGGTAAAAGAAAGATGATTGATATTTTAATAAAATTTAGAATACAATTATTATGGGAATGACTGGCGACCTGTCCAGGGTGTTTCCTGCCTTCCGCCCAATGACCGCTGGGATAGGCTCCAGCACCCCCCGCGACCCAGAAGGATAAGTGTCTTAGAAAATGTGTGTGTGTGTGTGTGTGTGTGTGTGTGTGTGGTTATAGTAACACTTTATTTAACTGTTTCCTATGTTCTAAGTATTAAGTAGGTAAGCGTCAGGTACAAACTCCAAAGAACTAGATCGTTATTTTGGTGATTATGATGATAAGTTCTAAGAAAGTTTAACTAAGTTTCACTTAAATGCCAAACCAGTTCTAGGTATCCACTGAGTGAGTGTGGGGTACAATCTCCAAGTGCTGAGGAATTATTTTTGGATAAAATGATGAAAAGCACTAAACTACAATGAAATGTTTTAGCTCTTAAGCTGACAAAGGACAAAAATGCCTCATAAATATTTGGAGTGACGAGATGGTAAGTACTCCAAGTTATAGAGAGTAAAATGACAGCAAAAATTACAAAGATAGTTTTCTAAAGTACAAAATGCAAAATACAAAAAAATACAAAGATACTTCTCTGAAGTAAATGTTAGGGACAGAGTGGAACCATATTAAGAACCACTGCTTCATTTTATAGCCCAGATTCAGCTAATAGACAGCTTTACATTATATGAGACTTTTCGTGTTATATTCACGTTCTTTTTTTTTTCAATATATCTAATGACAACCTGCTACTTCTTACCCAAAAGTGTGGTTTGTACCACACACTTACCCACTGATAGACAACCTATTCTGCATTTCAGTGTAATTTAGTTAGACTACCTTGGAACTTACCATTATGTAGTTCAAATACTTAACTAGCACTTTGGCATTTGTACCTCACACTTCTCTAGTTAATACCTAGAACTTAAAGTGGTACCACTCTAAATTTACCACAACTGTAAAACAAAGCAATACCATACTTTTCAGGACATCCAGTCTTAAAGTCTATGGTAAATAAGCATTGTGGTATATACACTTAACATTCAAAAAAGCATAAATTAAAATAATAACATCTCGTTCCCTTGAAAGGAAAAAAGTATATCCCCATCCACAGGAACCAAACAAAAGAAACAAAAGAAAAACTTACACAAGGTTATTACGTAAAGAAAAACACGTGAGACAGAAAGACTCTAAAACACACGTCAGCGGGCTGCATCATCACTGTCCACTCAAAATGATCATCTCCAGTTACTAGCAGCCTTTCTTGTCTCATATCTAACACTCAGCAGAAAAAAGGCCAGCACTTTACTGGCCCTTATTTACAATTTTACATTAGCCCCCCTCCCCATAAGACTATCCTGCACCCCCAAAAGCCAAAAGCATAACATAATGTTACAGTAAAGTTTTAAGGGATTTCAGAAATCATAAAGTTTAGATTTGAATATAATCTGTTAATGATGAACAAAATCCCATCAGAGCAAGTTACGTGTAGCATCCTAGATTGTCATAGAGAGATCAGATTTCAGTATCGCTTGCATTAGGATACAGTGACTGGTGTCATTCATAAACAAAGCTTCTTTAATGAAAGGCCAGAGAAAGTAAGATGTGAGATTGCATGCACAAAGCTGAGATTAAATGAGAGTTGTTAGCATTTTTAGCAGCTATCTGAAAGCTTTTTGTGTGTGTAGGCAGCATTATCTGCTTGCAATTAGGCAGTCTAAGTCAAATCTGCCTTAAGTGCTGATTTCTAGACTCAACTCTAATCACCTTCTCTTATCTATGTAAGCTTAGGTTTGGAAAGTCAGCTGAATCCTGCCTAAGGGCATGAACCAGTTCATGCAAGCCTGACCTTTATCATCAAGGCCTCTCACTATGAAAGGCAAATATGAAAGGCAGCTTCAGTGTGAAATACAGAAGTTTCTCCTATGTTGGAATATAGAGAAGTGCTGCATTTTTCCTTTGTCTGACATCCAAATTTAAGCCATTAAGTAGACGTTGTCCCTTTTCAGGTGGTGGAGTACAGTTATCAAAGAGGAATCACTGTCATTATCACAAGAAAAACAAAAAACTGACAAAGACATTTGAACTGACAAACAAATTCACCCCCGCCCTTGCAGACACCCTCGACCCTTATCTCGTATCAGTATCAGAGTGTCCATTGCTTTCCAGACCAGACCAGTCTGCACTAAACCAACCAGCTTCTCTCTCCCTGGTCAACATATAAACCATGACCTTCCTAACTCACATCCTACCTCCTACCTCTCGCTCTCTCTTTCTCTCTCTCTTTCTCTCATGCCTGCTGGTTCTTCTCTGGTGACTCCTCCAGAGTGATGACAGTAAACTCCTCAGTGTTGCCGTTCTCCTGGATCTTCTCTTTGTGCATGAGCGTCACCATCTCCTGCTCTCTCTCTTGGGCACGGGCACTGCTTGCTGAGGCTGCTGTGCCGTTCCCCTCACTGTTGCTCTTCGAGGTGATCATCAGAGTCTGATGCTTACCACACCACCTGAGAAACCACACAGCAAAAACTCATAACAGTGTACACTGATAATGTGCACTGATTAAAGTGATGCACTGAATTTACTTGGTTTAAATGTATACATCATTTCTGCATGAACAAAACATATTACACCAACACAATTACTGCCAAAAGTTAACCTAAACGATAAAATGTTACAAAGGTAATATATTTCATTGATGTTGATATGATGTACACATTTGAGTTGAAACAGGGGCGTTCAGCACATTTCTGGTCCCTGAGCAAATGCAGTCCCATGGAGACGAGGTGGAGGAGGGAGGGTGCCAATATTTTTGACGGATGTATACGTCTTCCTCTATCTATTTACTTTTACAAAAATTAATTTGATCACGACACTAATTGCTTAGAAATATTAATGCATACGCCAAATCTTGTTTAGACCCTTTGAGGGCCCCGTCCCCCTGTGGTCCTCCACTATCCCCCCAGCTGTGACAGCTCTGTATTAAAAATGAATGTACATTTTGCAATTTATTGACAACAAACTGCAATGTAGTCCATTTTCCTATGGGACACTGTAAGGGTCTGTAGGTTCACATGTAGACCAATAGAATTCATTTTCTTTATAAGACAATAATGTATATTTGAGACTTCAAATTGGAGAGACATTAAAGAAGTTAAAGTTGAAACTGGGATTTAATTTCAAGAACTTCAAGTTCTTGTTTTCTCAGCCAGCAAAAAAACAATATTTAACTAAGTTGTAGGCTGTGGAGATATTCTGTACATGTATGCTGCAAAAACAGCTTTGAGTTCATTATGTCCTGTTTATCATTCTTCCTAATGATTCATATCAAATGCCAGTCATTCTTCTCTGTCAAATGACTGTTTGGTCCCCATTTTCAGTGCAAATGCAAACACAATGTTTTTTTGTTTGTTTGTTTACAAAACTATCATTGGTCAACCCCATTTTGCTTGTATTTTCTTTAACTAAGAATATAAGGCACAATCCATGCTTTTACAATTTTTATATGTCAGTAGTCAGATCTGAATTTGGCTTCCTCAAGTCTTCATTTGCCAAACTGAACATATATTTAAATCTATATTTAAATCTATATTCAAATTTGTTTAGTTACGACACCTCATCATCTTTGAGCAACCTATAGAAGCATTTGAAACATGAGCTGCTTTTTTTTTACTTCTATCTATTCTATCAGATTTTAAGGTAATCTGATAAGCAATGATCAGGCACAGATCATGGTCTCACGAGATCAAAAAATAATGGATAAAAAACCTAGAATTGTGTGTGCTTATATACGCTTTGAACAGCATCAGAAAAAAATTAAGTAGCCTATTATTTCCTGCACAATATTTTTTTTTTGCACATTTTTGGGTTTTGGGAGCTTTTAATTTTAACTAAATATGGTGATAGAGTACAGGCTGAGGGGTCTTCATTTCATTTATTCAATCAGTACATATCCTAACACTATCCATGCAGCTACAGTGGAATGCCTCTGGTATTTGAGCTACCTTGGGCCTTTGGCAGTCAGAGGCCCCTGGGCACTGCCCCACCGGCCAACCAGTAATCCATCCTTGTCGATGATTTGTATGCTTTTTTTTTCTTTTATTCTTTTGTATCTTAATTTGTGCTGTCTTGTTGGCCACATGAGATTTTTACTCTCAATGTGACAACAATTATGATACACTATAATATAATTTGTAAAATAATTTCTTGATTGGTTATCTGTCAGATTTGATCTTAATTTTTCTTGATGTCATTTTAACATAACTTCATTCTGACTGTTCTAAAGCTTTCTCAGTCATTAAGGAATTATCTAAAACTCGTCACAATTCTGGACATCAATTTGTTTCAGCCTCCTACTAATTAGTAAGTAGCAGAAGCTAGTAAGTAGCAGTAGCTGTAACAGAATCATTTATTTTCAACTTTCTTTAATTAAAATTGTATTAATAACAACTGTCTCAAACTTTTGAATTGAAATTCCAAGTGTAAGTAGGTAGCAAAACCTATGGACAAGCAGGATTCACCTTTTCCTTGTTGCCACAACAGCACAGACGAGAATAATGGCAACAACGGCCGCAATCACACCCACTATGATCAGCCAGTCTGTGGAGGAGAAAAGTTACATGTTTATATCAGCTATTGAATAGTGTCATTAATGCTCAAGTGCTTGCAAATGTAAAAGATATGTCAATGCTAGTTACAGCATTACAGTTCACAAGTTCAACAGGCAATGTCAAGCTATCATAAGACATCTCTTAATTTGAGTGGGCCAGGTGATATTTTACATATGTGCTTTAGAGTGAATCTGGACCAAATATGGATCCAAAAGATATATTTCAAAGCAGATTTGAAGACAGCACTTTATGTTAAACTATAAATCTGTATAATATCACCTCCGCACCCCTGAGAGCGTGTGGTTTGGTTTGTTTGTTTGTTTGTTTATTTGTTCATCCATTAATTAAATGAGCTGGTGTTTACTTGAATTGTTTATTTAACAGGGACAATATACATTAATCCACATCATTATTTCATAATGGAAATGTGCCAGATTTAGCCAGATGGCTAATTTTTAATTGAAGTCCCTGGGCAGGTTGATGTTAATTTTAAAATAATCAATGTTTCTCAAGTAGGTAAAAAAACAAAAGGCAATATCAAAAATGTTTAGTCACAAATCACATTAAAGTAAACCCACAAAACACAAACACATAAACACAAAATAAATAAACAACATGTTTGCAAAGACACAAAATGTATAATATTATCAATTGGTATGCTGACAGATTTGATTATCCGGTAGCCATTTAAATTGTTCTGAAAATAGACCCGTGGTTGCCAGACTTCTTAAATCACTTCTTAAGTGTTCGTGTATACCTGACGAGCTACTATTCGACTTGTCCTCTGCTGGTGCACCCATCCTCCCCTCCTTCACATCCTCTGAAGTATGTGAGTTACCATCTCCAGTGACCGGTGCTTTACAGCAGATGTGTCATGCAAAATATAGATAGCACATATTTAATCACTTTAAGGTTGAAAAGGCTAAATAAATAAAATAGTTTTTTTTTAGAGTAAATCATATAAATTAGTTCTATTAAATTTCATAATTGAGTTTGTATAAGAATTATCTGAAGAATTAACATTTTCTGGCTTTCTCTTGAACAGTTCCTGATGAACAGCAGGGGGCGATTGTCAGTGAGCTGTCTGGAGTGAGAACGGCCACCTGTTACAGCATCTCTAAACTTTTACTTCAACAGCAGAGGGGGCTTTGGACTAAACTTTGGTGTAGCAGTAAACAAGAGCATTAGATGAGAACTTCTGCCAAGCAACAGAAGAGGGAAAAAAAAGCTTAGAGATGCAGACCAAGGACAAGCAGCGTAAGAACAGTGTAAAAACTCTAAAGGATATTTGCTGCTTCCTTCGCTCTTTCTTTTCTAGTATTCAGCAACAGATGGATAAAGTATACATTTAAAAAACACTCATCAGCCTTGCATCAAATAAACACTTTTGGTGTAGAATAAATTCACTGGGTAACTGCTATGAAACTAATATGCATGTAGTTACATTTCCAAGGTGGGTGTATGTATATATATATATATATATATATACGTGTGTGTGTGTGTGTATATAGTATATAGGAAGATGCCTTACCAGTTGCACCCATGGAGGTGTATTCTGTGTCCAGTGACACTGTGGACCCCAGGGTGAATAATGGCTCCCCCATACCTGAGCCCGTGGTCTGCACTAAGGTGGTGGGCCAATCTTTACCCATATGGAACAAAATAGAATATTTTTAAATATTTGAAATACCTTTCAAATACATTGCAGTCCACGCTGAAATGCATTCCAAACACTAAAATGTATTTCAGAATATATTGCGATATTAACCAAGTATATTTTAAAATGCATTTATTTTAAAATGTATGGGGAAATATTACACATAGAAAATGAAAATAGCCAAAATACTTGTCTGCCTTTTACTTTTGAAATGAATTTGCATTCCAGTATCTTAATTTTAAACATTAGCAGATGAACTTCTAACATGGCAAAAGCAAGTGTAGTAGATGTTGATACATTGTGAATACGCAGTTATGATTTGACATCGTCTTACTGCATACATACATTTGGTTAATGTACAGTACAACGCAAAACACCGAAGTCAGTACCATTTAGTTATATCTGTAACCGTTGTTAAAACAAAATACAACTGAAAAAGTATAATAACAAATACAAATAAATGTACTTAAAAGTATATGTAACAAATACATTTTTGGGCAGTTTTATTTATTGCAAAAATGATATTGAAAAAATTTGATAAATACATTTGGAATACATTTTTTTTCCATATGAGCGGCCTCACCTTCCTTCACTGTTTGCTGAGTCTTTGGCTCAGTCTGAGGAGGACTCTCTGTGATCAGACCTTTAGCGTCTCCAACAGGCTTAGTGGTCTCCAACAGGGTGGAGAACTGTGTAGTCTGAATCTCTCCTTCTTCCTTGTATTCACTGGATGAGGTGACTGGAGCAGGCTTCTCTGTATCATGAGGGTCAATGGTGGAAGTAGTATTATCAGAGAATATATCTTGGTTCCCTGCAGTGTGATCCTCAGTTGGACTATCTTCAGGGTTATCTTCATTAACAGTAGAGGTTGAGACTGTGGTGATGTCTGAAACGTGACAGAGACATTTTGAGCACACTTGGCTACAACATTACTGCTTTAATTCCAGATTTCTGCCTGGCAAAGCCTACACAAACAAATTTGTATTCTCTGACTATACTAATTACAGCATTATAGTTCTCTGGGTTATTTTCTATAGATGATATCAGGCTATCAAAATGCCTACACTCCTGAAAAAGGTGCCACATAGGGTCACACCTGGCACCATGAGGGAGCAACAGGGGGGATTTGTTTTCTGTCCCCCAATTAAGTTTTAAGGATGGGAGTAATGAAACACTTTATTTTCCCCATCAAATCTTTAAAGCTTGTTATCTGACACAGTCTCTTTTCACACTGAATAAACAGCATTCAAACATGGTTCTAAAACATAGCACTGTTTGTTGGGTTTGTTGGGCGTTAATACTCAGGCTAGTTTGCTTGCTAAATAGTTAGTCATCATGTTATGTACTTAGGTTTTTTGCCCAAAAAGCAGTTTGGGAATAAGGATGAATACCAGAACGTGATTTTGTAAGAAAAAAACAAAACACTTTTTGTTGATTTAATGCATGGGCCTACCTAGGCCCCGACTAATTCAGGGCCTCTGATTGGCCTTTTTGTTAAATGAAATGTGTGTGTTCCCTCTATTGATAACAGGCCCACACAATCACATTTATAAAGCTGACATTTCTGGTAAGAATTGATTTGTTACAGTGCCATCACTGTATTATGGCCTATCAAATTATTATGTTTTTCATGAAATTATTATGCCTTTTCACAGCCCTCCAATCATTGCACAGCAACCATCTGCTATCACCACAATCTGTCTGCATGCCAGTGTTCCAGTTAAAAGATGTAGCTTATGTCAAAAGAGTAAGCATAAAAGAGTTTTCTACCGCTGTCGTCGGTTTTCTGTGAATTTAATATCTATGATTCCCTTTTACTACAAAGGCTGAAAGATGTTTTGTAAAAATGTCAAAGTAAACATCAAACGCAGAGATTTTCAAATTCGGGTGCGAAGGTGAGAGGCGACATAGAAAATTGCAAAGAAAAGATATTTAACCCTTGTGTGGTGTTCAGGTCTGTGGGACCCATTTTCACTGTTTACCAAAAAGAAAAAATGATGTGATTTATTATTATGTCAGCCTCAGGTTCCTTGGCCTTTGCTCATTTTCTGTGAAGAACATATAAAATAACACATTTTCAGTGACTTCACACTGTAAACCCCCCACACATTTATATTACACATGTGGTGTTGGGGTGAACCCGCAGGGAATAAAAGCGTGGAGGTGCTGTGCCCCTTCACTCTGTTCTCCTCATACATGGCCTGCTGTTAGTGTGGGTGTGTCTGTGTGTGTGTGTGTTCGTATATGTGTGCGTGTGTGTGAGGGTGGACAACATGGACAGGCTGCTGACTGGCTACAGCTGCTATAGGAGAACCCTACGCTGGCCACTTGTGATATTTTAAACATTTCTTGTTTTTACATAAATTGTTATGGCTGTATTGATTAAAAAAAAACAATCATGAGGTGGAACCATTAAACCACTGAGTAACAGAAACATCAACACCACACAAGGGTTAAATGACTCATAAAATTGAGTAAATTGAACTCACAAAAAGGTTCTATCAAAACTGCAACAAGTTCCTCTGAACATCCTCTAAAAGTGTCATATAAGGAAAAAAAGTGTCATATAAGCAAAAAAAGCCATACTCCCTGCAGCTGTCGACAAGTGCAGGGCCATGCCTGGTGACATGCCACTGAAAACATGTCAACCATACCGCTGGCTGACACTACAGTGGCTCTACCAATCACAGATATGTCAGAAAATGCACAACAGATTGGATGGAGTATAAATCTTTCGCCCTTTATTCTATTTTTTTTCATTGTAGCAATCCACATAATGGAAATGACAAGGAAGTGAAGTTTTGGTCAACACTATTGGCACTGACTGGATAAAAAAAATACCTAACTTATTGTAATACATAAAAAGATTTTCGCCCTCAGCATTATTAACTGAATAATCTTAATCTTAACATCCTTTACCTTAAGGACAATGTAAAGATTATTACGTGGCGGTTCTTATTGATTGGCCCATGTAACAAACTCGGATTCAAAGCACTTTTGAAGACAGTTTAATATAAATTTCTTTATTGATTGCATGAGCTTTTTTAAATCTTCCCTCCCTTGATTTTTTATGACTATGTTCAGTGAGTGCTGAATTCCTCCCATTTTTTATTTTTCAGCCAGATTTTGTTTGTTGTATTAACTGAAGGCATTTCCCAGCATTTCCTCTAATGACACTAAAGAACATTTGTCTAACCAGTCACTCTCAGTGTTTCACCTCTTACGGAAACATGTCACTGTGAAAGTGTTTGCCTGTTAGTCTTTCTCACAGTATTATTGACATGACTGCCTCCACAGATGCTGTTCTGGAGATGCAGATTCCCTCTCAGCAAAAAGATTAATGGCTCTTTCGGTTTTGCTCAGAGACGGTTTCTGCCTGCAGATGGTAAATAATCTCACACCTATTGGTTCACTACTCAACCGTTGACATCAGCCATTGTTTACCGAACAGATCTATATTACAGCCGATAGAGCTGTGTTTCACTTCTAAATTACAGCAGTGAAGCTGCTGCTCACAGTTAAACGAGAGAACTGCGTACAGTATTAGATGCAGAACACTGAAAGACAATGCACACCTTTAACTATGTGTAAATGTGTGTGTGTGTGTGTGTGTGCTTTCATTACTTTACAGTAGAATTGGTATTATTTGATAGCATCTTTATGACACTCCCTGGATGAACAATGAGCTTTCTACTACATTTATTTGACATAATAATCCTTCCAAAATGATGTATGGTAATACTACACTGTTTCATTTTGGGGAGGTTTCACTAAAAAAAGTTAGTAACCAGGCTGCCTTAAAGGTTTTATTTCATTGCAGTAACTGAATGTAAGATGCAGATTTGTGTTCTGTTAATTTACTTTAAAAACTTAAATACTCACAATTTAAGGCAGCCTGGTTGTTAACTTTTTTAGTACCAAACAAATCTCAATATGTTTACTGAATAGCTATGGTCTAACAAATTCAGACATTCCTGAACATCTGGATCACTAAATTCCTGAGATTTACTCCCACAGAAATGTTTTAGGGCCAGCTGATAGAATGTTTGACATTGGATAATGATCAATGCATTTATAAGTTATTCAATAAACTTAGTTAAAAATATGATTGTAGGAGGATTGTGCGCAGAACAATAGATTTTTTTTTCTTTTCAAGTGAAAATGTAAAGTTAGACCTTTGCAGCAAGAAGTCCCCCCCAGACAATAGGCAACCCCCCCACCCTTTAGCATACTGCCACGAATATGTCACTTAGATAGATATTCATCATAAAGATACAAAGTTGTTCACTGGAAGTTCACAGACTAGCTAGTGTTAGTGTTACATGCTAGCTGTAGTGATTGTTAGGCAACGTATTAAGCAATCTTGCTTAAGAGGAGTTTGTATATGAGTTTTGCAGATTTTGCAGTTACATTCACAGCTGATCTGTTTCGCTATGTCCAAGAATCATTTGCACTTACCAATTAAATCTTGAATGCTATTGCTTTGCTTAAATATGTATTGCTATTATTGTTGCAACTACAACAATAACAAAACAACAACAATAACACAATTCAACAAATCTACATATCACTGTGAAATTAATATAATCATAACTATTTATTTAATTTTAAAAACTGACCTTTCAAGTGTTTCTTGTGTTTTGTTATAGTTTATTAAAATGAAGTATAATGTACTTTAGTTCTACCTGAATAGAATACATCAACACAATGCTTGCCAAACATAAGATAAATGATAGTAATTCTATTGATGCATTAAATATCATTCATGTGGAACCAATGAACACATATGAATATAATAATAATAACAATAATAATAATAATAATAATAATAATAATAATAATAATAAATGTTCTCACCTTTCTTGGTTGGTACAGGATCTGCTGTAGATTCAAGGTTGATTGCCAGTGTACAGTTTTTATCTGACATGTCTGGTTTGGGGGACAGAATTGCATGTTGTAAAAAAAAAGAAGAGGCCTCTGATTCATTTACCACTTCTAATCACAATAAAGTACAAATGGCTCCAGTTGTTTACATGTATACCAAAGCAAACCCTCTTCTCACGCTACATCTCAGTCACTGTAACTCTTTTCAATCTTTTAAACCCCACAGCTCAAACTGAAATTGGTATAGAGTTAAAGACTTACATTAAATTACAGTAACATTCCAAACCCAACCTTCTTTTTTCTTGTTCATTGTAAGTACCTGTGTCGTCGTAGCAGAAAGCATCATAAGTTGCAGTTGTAGGTTTGAATATGATAAGGCCCGTCTGGTTGGCTCTACACAAGATGTTTGCCCTCTGGCGAACAATGGAGACGTTTCCATCGTGGATCCAGCCGTACCTGTACACATACAGACCCCAGTGCAGGTTAATTACTGCCTGCTGTATTTACACTGCTCTGTTTTGACTGAGGAAAGTTTAGCAAACTTGCAACTAACTGTTTCTCTGTTATAATTTTTTGTAATGTAATGCTTTTTTTCACATTTTCCACATAAAAAAAGGAGGAGCAAAATTATTACATGCAGTGCAATTGACGGTTGTTTTGGGACTAACCATTACCCTGAAAGCAAGACCTAAGGACTGCTAGATTTAGAATGAAGGTGATGTGTCAGATATAACAGATGCATTTCTGAATACAAATGTGAATATGTTTGTCATTGTACAAGTACAATGAGATTCAGTGTGCCCTGCCAAGCTGCCTAAATATTAATATTTCAAACACTAAACTACATAAAATGTATGTACATATAATCACATTATTGAATTGGAATGTGTGCAGAGTTTATAATAAGACCAGGCAGTATTAAAGACGGTCTAGCTCTTCTCATTACACAGGGCATTACCTCTAGGTATGATGTATTTAAATATTTAAGAATGTGTGTCTTTTAAAAAAGATGGTTGATGCATATGTAAGCATGTAAATTTGAAGATTATTATTTCAGTAAGTACTGGAATACTGAGCAGACAGAACTCTCACCTGCAGATCTCCATGCCTGTCCCATAGGCGGCAGCCATTTGTGTAGCATTGGCCAGTGTTGCTCCCAATGACTCACATAGTTGCTGGGCGTCGGTAAAATTCAAAGTGTGCCGATCATTACCCTGAATATAGTAAACACCCCTATGACTGCAACCACGTACCTTCACCTCTGAGAGAGAGAGAGAGAGAGAGAGAGAGAAAAGAGTTTATATTTGGAAATGAAGCAAAAACATAGATTTAAAATATCACTTTTCCCTGATATTTTCCCCTCACACAGCTTAAACTCCATTCAGATGTTTATTATTATTATTATTATTATTATTATTATTATTGATCACAGTTACTGCCAATGATGACCAAAGATGTTGTTTGTATTATTTGTATGTATTATTTACTCGTACCTCAGTGAAACTCTTGAGAAATTCTGCCAAAAACTGGATCCTAAACTTTCAATTGATGCTAGATTTGTGTTTCTACGTAAAAAAATATTTATTTATTTGAATCTAATGAAATATAGTGCTGCCCTGTGATGGACTGGCAACCTGTCCAGGGTGCTGGGAAAGGCTCCAGTTCCCCCCTGCGACCCAGAAAGATAAGCAATTGACTAAACCAGGAGAAACAACTGAGTAAAAGAGAAGAATTAAGATTTTGTTTTTTAATTGTATTTACTGTTATTTACCAGCTTTCTACTGGCAACTTTGCTGACAGTACTTTGATCATTTTTCTGATTAAGGCTTTTGCTATTCTTTGAAATTTACAGATAATGTTTGTCAACCTGTGCTGCCAGACTTTTGACTATTTTTTCACTTTTTTTTTTTAACAAGGTGAACAATCAAGCTTCTTTTTGACCACGTTGCTGCTTGCTAGGTTTGCTGATGTGGTCATGAGTTAGCTCAGTATTTTTGGTAGATGGGTGGAGAGGACGACTGGTGGAGGAAGAGGGGACACATTCTCTTATACTACTGGCTATTATTATTTTTCACGACCCACTAGTGTACAATTATGTAGTTTTAAAACTAAAAAGTTTTTCCATTCTCGCTTAATACAGGATTTCAGCTGCTCAATAGTTCAGGGTCTCCTTTGTTACACTTTTCATTTCATAATGTGCCAAATGTTTTCAGTAAGTGACAGGTCTGGACTGCAGGCAGGCCACTTTAGCACCTGGACGCTTTTACTACAGAGAAAAGCTGTTATAATACATGCAGAATGTGGTTTGGCATTCTCTGAAAAAGATGTTGTCTGGATGGCAGCATAGGTTGCTTCTAAACCTGCATACATCATAGCTTGAATGGTGCCTTCACAGATGTGTAAGTCACCCCTGCCATGTGCACTAATTCACCCCCTTACCATCACAGATGCTGGAATTTGAACTGTGACTGAGAACAAGACAGATGGTCCCGCTCTTCTTTCGCCCAGAGGATGCACTGTCCATTATTTCCAAAAAGAATTTTAAATTTTGATTTGTTGGACTACAGGGACACTTCACCTCAGTCCATCATCATTAATAGAGCTCAGGCCCAGAGAAGGTGGTGCCATTTCTGGATCCTGTTTATATAGAGTTTCTTCTTTGCATGGTAGAGTTTTAACTTTTTAGTATTTGTGGATGCAGCGATGAACTGTTTTCACAGACAGTGGTTTTCATAAGTGTTTCTGCACCCATGCAGTGATTTCTACTACAGCATTGTGTCTGTTTTTAATGCAGAGGGCCCAAAGATCACAGACAGCCAATACTGGTTTTTGGCCTGGTGCCTTGCATACAGAGATTTCTCCAGATTATCTCAATCTTTTAATTACATTATATAGCATAGATGATGAATTCCCCAAGTTCTTTGCTATTTTACATTGAGAAACATTATTCTTTAATAGTTTCACCATTTGCTGAGCAGTCATTTACAGAGTGGTGAACTCCTCCTCATCTTTTCCTCTGAAAGACTCAGCCTCTCTGAGATGCTCTTTTTATACCCAGTCATGATACTGACCTGTTGCCAGTTAACCTAATTAGTTGTGAAACTAGCATTACATAACTTTACTAGTCTTTTTGTTGCTCCTGTCCCAACTTTTTAAAAATGTGTTGCTGGCATCAAATTCAAAATTGACAAATTGAAAATATATTTTCCAAAAAACAATAACATTTCTCAGTTTCAACATTTGATATGTTGTCTTTGTGAAACTTTCAATTATACGATTTGCACATCATTGCATTCTGTTTTGTTTACATTTTGCATGGTGTACCAACTTTTTGGAAACAGCGTTGTACTTTCTCATGTTTGACTCGAGCTCTAATTATAATTACCTTGAAAAAAAAAAAACAATTGAGATAAAGTGGCAAATTCCAAGTCCAATTTTATTGAATTGTTTGCTTTTTTGAATAAGTTATTTACTATAGGAAATATACACAACTGAATTGTTCAGTGTCTTTCTACTGTAATGGTGATGATAATCTCGTCTTCTGTTTTTGTGTCTTTCTCACAGTCTTTCATTCTTCATTCTAGTGGGGGGTGGGGAGGGAAACCTTTTGTTGATTTTATGATGAAACTGATCATGTTTTTTGTGCCTCTGCATGTCTCTCCATTCCTGTATGTCTATTACTATGATTATTGATCTTATAACAATGTCATAATGAGATCTATTGTCTTCATAGCTCCAAAAACAACAATGATATTTCTGACTTATATCAAACTGAAATATAGAAGTGAAGTGAAAAAACAGGTATACAGATGCTGTGAGACATGAAGCACATGATGAAGTTTCATCAGAATAGCAAATGAAAAAAGCAACAGGAACAGACAGGAAAGAGTATTCAAATCTCCTCTTCTTCTATTTTCTTGCAGATTTTACCTCATGTGTGATACTGTGGGATGGTGGCCCCAGGGAGTCACACAACATGAACATGGTTGTAGTCAAAAAGAACTGAGATGGATCAGTCATGGATCAGTCACCACGGACACACATGCCCTGGCTGCTTCCCGACAGACAGCGGAGACCTATCAGTTTTGATGTAATGTGATTCAGTGAAGAAGGTGCTGTAAAATGATATCTTTTGTCAGTGACCTGAGACCCATATGTTGGGATGGTATTTGGGTACACATGTAAAATAAAATTGAATGGACTTTTTTGTCAATTTTTATTTTTCTACATCCTTTGAGAACAGGTTTGCATTGTGCATTTGCATTTCATGACGAATGGACCAATAGAAATGCTCCATAATTGCTTGGAACAAAATCTCTTTACATTAACTTACACTGAAAGTAAAGAAAGTTTTTGTCTTCTCCTGTGAAGTTACTCCTGTGTAGATACTATTTTATTAAATCACCATATTTCAGTTTGTAAGCCAAACCTCCTCCTGGTTTAGCACAGGAAGCCAGTTTTATATCAGCTCTAATGTACAATGTGTATCTGGACATCTGTTTATCCTCATGCAGTCTTGCTCGAAACAGATAAGGGTCTGCATTTCATATCTCTAGAGTATCATAAATCAACACACAGTCATAATGACTTATAATGTCAGAGAGCTCCTCACAATCCACCTCTCTGAAAGTGTGGAAATGTCAAATAATGGCAAAATCCACTAAGGTTTCCCATCACCATGGCAACAGGGGATGCACAAATATCGATTCTCCGTCACATGAGAGGGTGTCAGTGTTGTGTGGCTTGCAAGAAACAGCATTAACAGACCACATCCTGTGATGTCTTCAGCTTTGTGTATCTCATCAGTGTTAAAAAAAATCAGCAAATCCTTCCTCATCTGTTCATGAGCAAACTGTTGACAGTAAGTTACCATGGTGACACGCACAAACAACATCTCTATATTTAGGGAAGCAAACTGAACCAGAATTTACACACTCACATGCTTACAAAGCCATGGAGTGTAAACAGACAATTCAGAGCAAATAGCAGAAACATGTCCAAAATAATGTGTCCATAAGTGATTTATGTGAGTGGTGATCAACAGTGCTCTGGAATCTGTGACATTAAGTACACTGACTAACTGGGGCAATATGTTATTCCAAATGTATTTCTTTCTTTTTTAAAAGCCTGTCCTTGGAGCAAATGAAGTGCTATGCTTTTCTAAATGCCAAAAGAATTGTAATGGAACACGGTCATTTCTGCCTTGCGTAAATCCTTTGAAACGCAAGCAACATCATTATCTACATGCTGATAGCCTGCTCTCTCTGCTGCAACACCAAGCTCAGCAGAGGAAACAGACACCTGTCATAAAACATATACTACTGCTACATGGTGTCATGAGGTTCCCACACTGAGACCACTGCATTCATATGAATTTATAACACAGCATACCGTATGTACCATAAATATGTATGAATTTAGGAACTGGGCCATAGACACACACTCACACACACAACACACACACACACACACACACACATAGGTTATACTTCCACAATAGAATATGAGATGGAATGCGTTATCGCAAAATAACATTATGGCTGTCGTTCAGTCGCAGGGACAAGCTGAAGGCGAGTACAGCAGATCCTCACAGCCATTCGCAATAACACACGACCTTGAATGTTCTATTTTTTTATACAACAGTTCTGCCCCAAAACTTGCATCAAATGTGATTTAATCTTAGCAATTCCTTCTGCAAACAAGTAGCACCCTTTCGATAGAGTCATAAAACTGCCACAATATCAGGTTCATTTCAGTTTTTTCAATATTTGCCAGATTAATCTGAATGTAGTTTTGTTCCAGTCAGTCTGTTAAACATTTCACAGCCCATCTTGTTTGCTGTATTCTGTTCATTTCCAGCTAACTTAAGTTTGTTTAGTTGTTGCGCCATCACAGCTGCGGATGGAAAAGTTTGCTAAGATGAAAAGCTTGCAAAGGGGTTCAGAATTTGATGTAGGCCTGCTGTTTTCTGCAGAATTTGAAGATCTCACCAAGCACAGTGCAGGTCAAAAGTTCAAGAAGTTCTCTGTTGTATCCATTCTGTTTTTGTGTGTGCTAAACTTAATAACGGCTAGCTGCAGTGTAAAGCAAGTCTTATCAACCGGTGCTCAGGGGAATGGTACAGTTATTTGTAAAGTGGTATCATCACAAAAAATAACACATGTACAACCAATCAGATTGGGCTGTCAGAACTAGCTGTTCTATAATGTCTTATTCAGGATAACTTGATCATGTATAGGCTCATTGTAAACAATAAACAAA